TAGGGAAACAAGTTTCATCTCTCTTCTTTTCATACTCATTCAATTTTACATAACTGGTGTGATTTCTTTTTTTCCCCAGAATTTGTTTTTCTTTTGTAGCTTTACTTGTCTGTGACTGAGTTTATATTCCACAATTTTGAAATGTTTCAGGTTGGATTACTTATGTTATTTCTTTAGAAGTTGGAGTGGTAATCCTTCCTTAATACGACTTTTTTGAATTTATATAGCAACGGCATTATGTATCCTTGGGTTGTAATCCACCAATTTCCTAACTAATAATTAGTTCTGCTTTGACTCTATGTGTGTACAATAAATGTTTTTGTGAGGGCTTCTTGTGATAGACCTTCTATTCAAGATTTTCCAAGTTCAGTACAATTAAGTTTGATCATTTATGCTGAGCATATAAGAAAAGATAAATTTTGAATTCAGACAGTTCTGTCAGTGATTTAGAAAATGACCCTGAAGTAGTCTTGTCTTTTCTTGTATGCTTTGCTTTTTACTGTTGCAAAACAAGTAGGGCTATTGCAAAACAGGTAGAGTTAAACAGTGTACTTGCAGAGAAAACTTTTTATGATGAAAGGTAGAATTTCTTGATCTTTGTTATATCTACTGCAGCACCAAACACAGTTTGAATGCAATTTTTTAATGTGCATACAAATTAATAGAAAAAGACTTGCAGTCGTCTTAGAGTTGTTACTACTTTATTGCTTGGATAAATTAGTTATTTTCTGTTTAGTAGAACGATCCAATTTCTGGAAGGAAAAAACAACACCAAAAAGTATACTGCTTGTGCTATGTTTCTCCGAGGTATTAATTGAATTAGCCATTTTCATTAACTTGAACTGTTGTGTCATTACAGTATTAATTAAGCATTTTTGTTGTGCAGGCATCATTATGCTCTGACTTCTCAAAATTACTGGTTTCTGTTTCAAATCATAGCTTGTTCAACTTGTCTTAATTTTACAAATTTGCCATCAAAAGACCTTCTGGGTACTATCCAACATAAAATAACAATGATGATTTAAAAAAAAAGGTGGACCTGGTAACTACGAACTTAAAAAGCATTCATAAATAAATCAGTAGCTTTCACTCTGGAGCAAAATGTGGAAATTCCACCCCCCAAATAATCCATGTTCAGCTTCGTGGTGGATATTGTCAGAATCATTGTCCTTCAGCCCAAAAAATAGGAATGTTTCTCAAAGCCAGTAAAATCAACTAATACTTCTTATTCTTGGCTTTACTAACTTGATGTCCTGTTGCCAAAGAATCAGTGACGCATTCACAAGCTAGTGCTTAAGCTGTTCCTTTCTCTCTTTTTATTTCATCTGGACTCTTGCATGCTAGGAATTTAAATTCTTAGAGTCTGCCTAAAGTAAGAGTTCTCCTCTAGCTAAACTTCCCTGAAATCATTTATAACATAACTTTGCAACCTGTTTGTATGTATTGTTTTCTTTTCTTCCACCTTGGCTGCAAATTCTCTCAGGTCTCCGCTGGTTCATCCGCCAAGCCATGGATGCCGCTCGACTCACAACAGCCCAATTCACACTGCTACTGGCTCACGACTTACTCAGAACTTCTCTGTGTCTGTTCCCACTCTCATCTACACTGGTACGAGACTGCTCAGACTCAAGAGCTGGGGAGAGGCAGGCCACAGGCACAGTGGTCGCAAAGTGCAGGCAGGCAGGCAGTGTAGGCAGGTACCACCCATCTTTTCTCCCTCATTTTCTCATGGAGACACACCTTCTGTTGTCAGTGAAGAACTACTGTGTGTGAAGCTGATGAAACAAAGGCAATAGTTTCTTGAAAATGCATTGGAGTCTCTTCCACAAAGCCACACTCTTCATTTCTTTTTAACATGCTTACTTCCTAAGAAAGGAAGTAAAGATAAGTTGATGGGGAACATTCACTATTTTATAGTCATTGGAGGAAATAATGTTTTTATTAGAGTTCATAATTGCTTTCCAGCATAATTCAAATATGGTATTTAGGTTTTAAAATGCTTATAGGAAGGGTATGTGGCATTTGTGGAAGAGATGGTTTGAGAGATCAGGTAAGTCAATCTGTGCGTAAGTGAATTGTTTGTCAATATAGTTGTTCCCATAAAGATTCTCCTCTTTGCTCTGTTTTTAGCTGTGGCATGCTGCTGGTGCTATAGGATAAGGAAACATATTTTTTTTTTTCCCCCTTAAAATGCATATGTGTGTATATACATAAATGTATGAATATGTATAAACACAAATATAATTTGAAATCATTTTTTCTTTATTAAACTAACTCAAAGCATTGTGTATTTGACCAGATTTTTAAGCCATAAACTGTTTTCAATTTTTTCTTTTGCATATATATAATTTTTTTTATCACATCTCATGCCTTTCATTTGGCTTAATTGTTTCATTGTAGATTACCAGCATCTATCTGTAGAATGCTGAATGGGTAAAACAGCATTTCTTTGCCTCTGGCCTCATCCCCAGTCTCGCACCTAAGGAATAGCTGCTGGCCCTGCCCCAATCCCATCCTGGTGTTTGGATCATGCTGCTGTCAGCCAGGTCCTTTGGCACAGGATTACTGAATATGTTTCCACCTTCTTCTGGCAGGATTCCCTTCAATGAAGATCCCAATCCCAATACTCATTCATCAGGACCCTCCACCCCTCTGAAAAACCAAACCTATTCCTTTTCACCTTCCAAGTCCTACAGTCGACAGTCCTCTTCTTCTGACACAGATTTGAGTTTGACACCCAAAACTGGTAAGGCGCTTCCACCCACTTTTTCTTTAATTTATGTTTCTCTTTTTATATTTTCATTCAACCCCTTTTTGCTTTTTGGCATTTAAGTTATCAAAATGATGTGGAAATTGGAGACTTCAGATAGCACACCTCAAGCTTGACAGGGTTTCTGTAGGGTGAAAATTTAAATCCTGCCTGTATTTCCACTATTTTGGATAACATTAAAATGACATTTGTAACACAACTGTATTCAAGTCAAAATAAAACATCTTGGAGCGTTAAGGGAGTCAGTCCTAAGTAACTGCCTTTTTCTTATTTCCTCCATTTCATATTACAAATCATGGGAGTACATTTCTCACCACAATGTGTTAAGGGCAGTGTTACTAAAACAGTGTAGTCTTCAAGCCTAATGTGTTGTGCTGTAAGTATATTGTATACATTTCTCTGTGATTTTTTTTTTAACTCGTTTTTGGAAACACAATACTAGAAATGTAGCAGCTGCTGTCTTTTTATTTTCCTTGGTTTATGGAAATGGCTTTACATACACAGTATACATTTTGAAAGTAACTTAAATTATATTCCAGCCATCTTCAAAGAGCATTTTTCTTTCTCCATTGGTCTATCATAATTTCTTCAACTTGTTGTTTCCTTCTTCCTCTTTTTTTTTTTGTCTATGGTTAGAATCATGTCAGTAATAATGTCAGCACAACTCAAAGAATTATTGTCTGTTTATTGTCCGTTATGTGACCAATGCCCTGAGTTTTACTACCATAGGGCAAACTATTTTGCAGAATTGTTTCTAAAAGTTTGGTTGCTTTTTAAATAGTGTTTTAAATTGTGGTATTTGAAGCTCAGAACATTCTTGTCTCCATGTACTCTAGACAATATTTAAGCATATTGAAGTACTTGATTCAGCTTTACTTGATATCAGCCCTTTTAAGAATTTTTCCAAGCAGATAAGTTAAATGTTGCATTCAAATGCAGTTATATGAAATATTATACCCAGTTTATTCCCTAGATATGTTAAAAAATGTTCTCAATTAGGAAGCTGTCTTTCTCAATACAATCTTCTCTGTACCGGTTTTAAAACAAACAAAAGCATGTGGGTTTTTTTTTTGGTCCTTTTGTGTAAATGATGACTGTTTTGTGGATAACCTATGATGGTCACTCATTTAAAGGACCTACAAATATAACTGGATGATTATTACGTAGGAGAACCACAAACTCATGTGTTTGGTTTACTGAATATTTGAAAACCTCTTTTGTTCAGATTTTCCATGGTAAGGGTTGTGTTGTATAACGGATTTAAATGTAACATAGATGGTCATCTTTATAGATGTAAATGTACTGAATTTATGAAGGTAGCAACTCACTGTGTATTTGTCAAGTTTTTAAAGCAGCAACCTTATCATTCCTGGCAATGTTATGTAGGTGGATGGGCTGGCCCTCTTGTCTTTAGTCAGTTCATTCAGAACTGAAACAGACTGTGTAATTGGTACCTCTTATTTTTAGGGATTTTTTTCAAGTATATAAAGATTTTTTTAGCTATCTTTTTTAGTATTAAAGCTAACAATGGGCATACTTTTGCTTTTTTAGCAGGGTCTGCTGTGAGAGAACAAGGGGTAATGGTTTTAAACTAAAAGAGGGTAGATTTAGACTAGACATAAGGAAAATTTTTTACAATGAGGGTGGTGAAGCACTGGAACAGGTTGCCCAGAGAGGTGGTGAAAGCCCCATCCCTCGAGGCATTCAAGGTCAGGCTGGATGGGGCTCGGAGCAACCTTATCTAGTTGGAGATGTCCCTGCTCACCGCAGGGAGGTTGGACTAGATGACCTCTAAAGGTCCCTTCCAGCCCCAATGTTTCTATGCTTGTTAGCACCGTCTCTTTAGCAGCTTTTTAACTCTGCTACTGAAACTTGTATTAAGAGGATTTGCTGGTTGCTTTCAAAAATTCTATATCTTGCTGTTACATACTAGATTCCGAATCTTATAGCTTAGAAGGACAGTATGTCTTGAGTCATTTTTTTTTTTTACCTTTTATCAAAAATTTTGTGATGCACAGAAGACACTTCCATAACCTACTAAATTCAGTATGTTGGTTTTAACAATTCACTGTATATGTTTAGACCTGTTTTCATTTCCTGAGGCTGTTACTAGGTTGGAATGTTTCAGTGTGAAAGTTGGTGATGTTAGTGTTTGGGGGAAAAAAAAAAAATGGCAAAGAAATGCAAACATCTCATGTGACACATTAAACATTATCAAATTTGAGATACTTATTACTCAGATTGGCTGATGTGAAAAATGAAATATTTTCTAATGTTTCTGCAGTACATTCCTCTGTTACTTCTCAGTCAGGTAGCTAGTGTATTCACGTGTTTGAACTGGAGACTAATGTTGAAAAAAGAGTGCAGATACCACAATTGCACAATATGAATAACTAAATAAAGGAGATTTGAAACTTGGATCTGCTTAAGCATTTAGTTTTCAGTAGCTCCAAATCAGGAGAATGTTACCTTAATGTCTTTTTTATAAATACAATTGTGATTGTGTTATCCATTCTGGTCTATATTTAGTCTAAATATGAGGGGAAATTATTCTGTGCTGAGAAAGCTTGTTTTGGTTTGAAGTTAAACTTCTGTGAATAATGATATATTTTATGCCACTGTAAACTAAAAGAACATCAGGCTGACAAAACAAGACATATTTTAATCAGGTAATACCTTTTGATGTGACATAGTATATGTTTGGAGGAAATTGAGAAGGTGGGAACTCCTTTTCTTTGTGGGAACTTAGAATTCTACAAGATTTATGACTCTAAAAATGATAAAACAAATCCATGACTTCTCTGGAAAATAACTTCTTATAACTAAATAATTAAAGTAATCAGATTAAGTGTGTGAGAAGACTGTGTTATTTAGCTTTTACTCCATAGTATCTGTTAGCAAATTTTGTACAAAATTTAAAATAAATGTTAGGTTACCATGCCTTTTAAGAAAACTAATTTCAAAATAAAGTTAATCAGGTCATGATTTTTGAGAACATGCTTCTCATTCACATTGTGGAGCTGTATTGTCATTCCATTTCTTTGTATATTGAGAAATAATTTAGCAGTTAGTGCTGGTTCATTTGGAGAAAAAAAATGCTTCATTTTGATTTCTTCCATCTGTTTCTTTAATCATCTTCTGAATCTACATCTCTTTGTCTCTATTACTTTCCTCCACAGCACCTTCCCCACAGGGACCTAGGATTTTCCTGTTTCCCAGCTCCCCTACACTCTCTTGTGATTCCCCACATCTTAAAAAGTCCTGTCTCCTCCTCTCGGGGTCTAGCCTTAACCCTCTACACTCTAGCCATGTCAGCCCAGTTGTTCTGAGGAAAAGTGTTTCTTTCACTGAAGAGCTGCTTCTGGCTGCTTCTGGTAGGATCAATCTATTATGGCCTTTTAAAAAAACTTTTAAGAAAATGTTGTTGTTAGTTGATATGGGGGCATTTAACACACAGCCTTCTATAACCCTGTGTTTTTGTTCAGTTAGCCTCTGAAAACTGCTGGCTACATGACTATTCATACCATCTCTCGTCTCTGCACCAGAAGCTTGAAACAGCTTCAGAATGGCTTATAGGATTTGAAACATACGTAATTTATGCTGCAGAACTTTCTCCTTTTCCCTTGCAAAATTTCCTTTGGTAATTGGACTAAAATAATTTACTTTTTTTTTTTTTTAAATCCCCCTCATTCCGTTCACTTTTTTGTTCCTATATTTTTGCATGGAACAAGCACTTGCTCATTAATTCATTCATAATTTATTGAAATGATGGCTATTAGGTGGCTAGCAGCTCTGCTCTTTAATCTTTCAAACAAAGCCTATACAAACTTTATTTGTACTGCCTCCTTTTCCATTTCACTGACATGCATTATTTTTATGGATTTAAATTAAATAGTTGATATTAGTGCTTTTTTTTCTGTAGAAACTATTTTGATTGATTTGTACTTTTTGAGTTTATTTCATGTCCAGTATTTATGCTATCTTTGTCTGTATTTAATATTGTATAGTCCCTGACAATGGTGTTCGGAATCAATGCCAAATAGTAAAAGCAATTTAATCTTGTTTAATGGGACTATACATGTACTAATACTTTTGTTTCCTTATCCAAGAACAGCTAAAAATATTTGTTAAAAATTATAGTATTTTAATATATAGTTACATCGTAATGATAGCCTAGTAATTTTTGAAAATGTTAGGAATGAATTAACAAACATTATTAAATCTGGTATTATTTCCAGATCTCCCAGGCTTGGGTTAAAACAAATAACTGCACTTTGATGTATATATACAATCTCATTCATGTTTATTAGATCCTTGGTCAGAAGAAAAAGGAAAGTAGCAAGGAATTGTTATGTTAAATTAGTTACAAATTCTGTAAAAGAAAATCTTGGCTTCATTCATAACTGTTTGCACTGTGGTGTTTGTATTTCATCCTGCTCCTGACACTTGTTTTTGTTCTTTAACCTGTGCTTTCCTATACAACTTAGGTGTTTGTTTTTGCTTTGTGAAGTTAGCACTGATGGTTTTAGATACAAGAAATACCAATGATAGTATGTTTTTAGGCATGAAATATTACCAAGAAAATCTGATTCACCAGCATTGTGTTTACTTTAGGAAAAACACAATCTTGGTATGTCTTTGGTTTTACTTTTGTGATTTCTAACCATAAAGCAAATAACTTACTGTCGTACATATAACCTGCATCTCAACACACTCAGTTAAGAATACAGTTCCTTGATAACAGATAATTCAATAGCAAAGATATTTGTGAATCTGATAAACTTTCTCTTCAGAAAAGCTCCTGTATTGGGGGGTAGGAGCGGGAGTAAAATACATGAAAGAAGGAAAGAACGAACTACCTTTATTGTGCAGAATTGGAGTTTGTGTCTTGTTTTCATTTACAGATAATCTGCAGGTTATGTGTGTGCAAATATAGTAACCAAATAACTGTGACAGTTTTAAATGCTAAGCTGTAGTCCTTAGTTTATTTGCATGAATCAGATGAGTGAATATTTCATTGCACAGAAATTAAAGAAAATTAAAACAATTGGTAATTTTATACAGAGTTTATTTTTCAGATCAAAGATGTGTGTTGCCTTTGCAATTCTCTTTTTGGTCCCAATCATGCATTATATTGCTACTGATGTAATTATTTGTACAGTCTCCTCCCAGTGGTTAGGAGAGGTGATTTAGTTACTCTGAAACTCTCAGCCACATCTTTATTACTTTTTTTTAAAAAAACCCTGATAACGATAGTAGAGAGAGATACTTGGCTATGAAATAACCTGGCAGAGAGGCATCATTCAACAGTGTGGAATTAATGACGACTTTGCAGCCCTTTTTGATAAGGGCTGAAAATCTGATTATGTAGAAACTTTCTGTGAAAAGCAGAGAAGGTAGATGTATATTGAAATCGTAGACAAAACTCCCAGTAGTAACAAGAAAAAAAAAATGTCGTTACATGTCGTAGGAAGGAATTGCAAGCTCAGATCTTTAAGTCTTTGTACTTTGAAGTTTTCTTTTAAATTCAGGTTGACAGCAGAAAAAGGTCTTGGATCGGGTGGTTTTGTCCAAATGCTAAAAAAACACTACTAATCATGTGAAAACCACCCCCAAACACAAATTAAACTGTGATGCTAAGTGTTTTTTTTTCTGAAAATTAAAACTATGAAGATAATGTGACTGTTTTCCATGACTGTATTCCATGACTCTTTTATATATTTTTTAAAATTAAAAATTTGATTACAAATTCTAATGTATGTTTCTTTGAATGTCATTTGTACTGATACTCTTCAGGAATGGGCAGTGGGAGTGCTGGAAAAGAAGGGGGGCCATTTAAAACTCTTTTAAGACAACAGACTCAGTCAGCTCTGGAACAAAGGGTAAGGCATTTTATACTTGCATTTCTGATCTACTCAAATTGAAAATTTAGCTTGTAGTAAGTTAAATGTTTCCTGTTACTTTCTGTTAAAAAAATATGTGTAATTTTTAGGTCTGAAAACTTACTGCAAGTGTTGAATGTTTAATGGCCTTTTATACACAACTTCTTTAAATTTTAATACATTACTAAAGCATTAAGAAAACTGGAGCAGATAACTGTAATATGCACAGCACTCAAGTGATTACAGTTGATGCTGTAAGAAACAGTTATAGCAAAAATTACTGCTGTTTAGTCTTTGTAAGTTAGTGATGCATGTGCAACATTAGTACTTTACTATCATGTATTTAGTTAAGTTTTATAGAAGCCAAATTCAGAAACTTTGGAATGGCTTTAAACAAGGTGAAAATCCCATTTATAATTGCAAAAACTTTCAGGTTTGACAAATAAGAGTTGGTGCATAATTTAGCCTTTGTTCTACTACATGAAATGGTGTGCATGTAGCCTTTATAAAATGGTATTTTAAACAGAGCTAAACCACTTCCCAAGCAATAAAAGGGCTTTATAGATGTACAGATTTTTGAAGAACTTCTATAGGACTAAAAATGCCAACTGTTATTATGCTTAATATACTGTATAATAAAAACAGTGGTTTTAATTATTTGTTTGACTTTTGGAATGAGTCCTTGCAACTTTTTATTATAGATTGTATATTACTTTTGTCAATATGTTAGTAATGAGGTGTCTTTAAGGAAGAAATGTGGATGTTTTCCTATTCAGAAATAAATTCTAGTTTATTTACAATTTCTGACTACGTGAACTACTTACATAGAACCTTATACATTTGTTGAAAACAAAATCAGCTACATCTGTGAAATATAAGTAAATAGCTACTATTTTGAATAAGTGGATGATTCTCTTCTCATTTTTTGTGTTATCCATTGCTAAGGGAGGATCGCCTCATAGGTTCTATAGAAGGCGGGTATGTTCAAAATGTTGTGTGACTCTTTGTAGCCCTTTTTTCTTGTTGAGGATTTCTAAACAATTATTTGAAATACTTTGTTTTTCTTTTTCGTGAGGTTTTGCAGATTTCTTTGTAATCTTGTTTATGCATTGTTAAGAGCATTTATCAGATCGGCATATTTTTGGTTAGTATTTTGCATGTTGATACATTTCAGTTAAAATTTTAATTTCTCTTTAAATACAAATCCATGGCTTTTTGCTTTTAATGTTTTAGTTTTGGGAAAAAAATGCTTTCAAAAGAGCATTTTCTCTGTTTACTTTTATTTTTTGCTAGTGTTTCAGACATTTAATGGCTGATCTGTTACTTCCTTAGGAAGCTTTTTAAAAACAATTAAAAATATAAATTAAGAGCACTTAATGTATTTTTAGAGCTTGAATTATTTGCACATTGTTTTGATAAGTCCTGTACGTTGTTTAGTGGAAAAAAATACTGTAAAATGGGATGGAGACATGTTGAGTGCTATTGATGATGATGTAGCAAAGCATGCGGACTATTAATTGATACAAACGATATGTTCATACCGTCTTTCTGGAAATTTCATGTTGGATATGTTTTTGCTATGGTTACCACTTACGGTTACTTTAAAGTTGAATTACTTAATTTATAATTATTATTCGTTCTAGTTATTTTATCTGTTTTAATAGTGCACACATAAATAGTGCACTCTAGTTACTTGCTGGATTGGTTAGGGTAGTGCTTATTTGGGAAAACAAAGAATAATACGTATAATACATATCTGCATGTATTAGATATATAGTATGCTTTTTTTAATCTTAATTGAGTTTATTTGGGTATATGGGGATGCTAAGGCATGTTAAAACCTTTAATTTAACTGGATGTCTCCACAGCTTTTTTTAAATCAAATGTATTTTTAATGTGTTACTTAACCCTAATTGCAAACCAGAACAGATTTTTTTTGAAGGGTAACATTACTCAATTTCTTCTGGGGAAAATACACCAGCTGTGGAAAACTCACATACATGTTATGTTGTACATTAGTATATTTTTAGCAATTCACAGGATGCCTGTTGATAGCAAGTGTTAACTATAGCACAGCTTTCTTTGTGTATATTTTTATCTATAAATTCATATGCTATATTTTAATCAGTGGGAAACTCGAGGTTATTTTACTCATAAAAAATTAGCCTGTATTTTTGAGGATTTTAAATGGCCAAATGCTGCTCTGGATGGTAATTTGTATTTCTGTTGACCTCAACTTGGCCAAATGCTGTTTATTCCTCCACGTTTGCATTCTGCAAGTGCTTGAGAGATCTTTACTGCTGCCTTTTCAAAATGGAGATCTGTTGGTCTTCATCTCTGAAGAGCACTGCTAGATAATTGTTGTGTTAGAGTGCAGTTCTCTGTGTGATTCTTTTGGCTGAAATGCTGACTTAAGCAACTTTTCTTTCCAGCAACTTCTTGTTACTATCCAGCCCATCTCCTCAGTTCAGTTGAAGAAAAATTGTAAGACTCTTTAGCCACCTTGTGAGATGGCACAATAAATGTGCTTAGAATAAAAATAATTTAACCAGGAAATTACTGGTATTTTAATGTGGACTAATTCCCTGCTTGGAGTCTGCTCCAAAAGCTCTATGAACATACCTGAGCATTTTGAGCATTTATCTGAGGGAGTGGTCCAATGATGGGAATAAGTAGATGGCTGGAAGGGAATCTGAGAACTGCTTCAGCTGGCACTAACACCAAATGATATGTGTGTGTCGCCTTGTTCCATGTACTTTTTCATTATTTTGTGTGTCTTTGTATGAAATGTAGTTGAAAAGAAGAATACTAGCAATATGTGTATGTGTATACACATTTTTAAACATTGTATTAAGTATTTATAAGGATTTTATTGTAGCGGTATCAAACTTTCCCCAAATGCCAACTGTGAAATCTCTGTATAGTTGCAAGGATTAAACAAGTGACAGTTCCTTCAGAGTCTATGCAGTCAATGACTGTGAAATGGCATAGTGAATCGGTATTGGTAAAATGATTGACCATCTTCAGTTGTAGCTTGGAAACTGTAAGATCATTGTGTCTTCTCATACACGGGAATATTCTGTGCTTGCGTCAACATGATGTAAAGATAGTCATTTGCAAATTGCAGTAGTAGAGGAGATCCGCAATACGGAAACACTTCTGGTTCTTATGGAATCTCTGTTTTCCATGCAGTAAGTATAGCTTTATAATTTTGAAGTATTACAGATTACCCCATGTAATTGAGGCTGGAATGTGTATTTGAGTAAAATAATAATAAAAAACCCCAAACCTGTAAATGATCATAAAAAAAGGAAAAAAAAAAAGCCATCATATGAAGTGATGGAATTCCATCTGTGTCTGAATGAGACATTGTCAGAATGGTTCAGTGAGTTGGTTACTCAGATTTGTCTGTGGCTGAAATTAACTGATACGACATTTTTGTGTGAAAGTATAATACAGACTTGCAAGTATCGATACATTGACTAAGATGAAATCATGTTAGTATTTTAAAGTCTTATTCCTGGTTTTTAGTCTAGAGGATCAGGCAAACTGGAAGTCTGAACACGTTGAAATTACTTGCAGTACACAGCCTTATGAAAACGAACAAAACATGAAAGTAATTTCCAAATCTCCATATAGATTAAAAAGCGTCAGATTTGCTTATGCTTTAGACCGTGGGGTTATCGTTCACTTTGTTCACTGCATACTGCTTTAGAACAATGTAAGTGTGAGTGTACATATGTATGTGTAAAGTATAAATGTAATGTAAGCTTAATGGAATTTCATATAGGTGGCATTTGCAGTAGACTTGATTTCTGTAGTTCTCGGAAAGCTAATTATTTTTAATGTCATTAACGTGGGATAACTATATTCAAGGGACAGAGCAAACATGGATGTTACATATTTAAATATAAGGCAGAATGAGTGTCATGGAATTACACAAGGACAAATATTATCAGTATACTTGTGAATCACTGAACAGTTGATATTACAAAGTCACTGTGAAAGAGGATTCTAACAAAGTGTTGTTGTACTGCATTTTTTCCATTTTCTGGCATGAAAGACATACAGAAAAGGAGTTCAGACTGTGTTGTGGTCAGAGCTTTCTTGGCTGTTCTGATAACCTACAAAGTTCTTTGTGATCTGTTAGAATCTTCTGGGGGAATCTTTTCTGTGGCCCTCTCTAGAGATGTATTGGTGCACCTGAAGACAGAGTAGTCAAGTAGGTTTGCAGAGTCCTGTGGTGAAATCTTCCTGCTTTTTGATTGCATCATAAGACACAAATGCAAGTTTTAGTGTTTTTTGGGATGTGAGTGGTTTTTTTTTTTTGCTTCTGGTTGTTGATACTGTGGTTGCCGATTTCAGAGTTTGCCTCTTAATTGTGAAAGTCTAAGCCAAATGAAAAGGCAGAAAACTTGAAGTTTGTAGGACATTAAAAAAGTTGTAAGAGTTCTAATAACAAGGGTGGTAAGAATTCTGGAGTATTAATTTTTAAATCTACATTGGGCTTTAGTTAAAGAGGACTTTTCATGCCATGTATTGCTGGAAGAACCGTGATCCTCCTTTAGTCCGCAGCATGTACACTGTTCAGGTAGAAGCTCAGTTGAACTGTACTGTTGCAAGTGCTTCAAGTATGTGAGAAAGGAATCTGTACTGTACTGTACTTTCATATAAAATTATGGTGTTTATTTTTTCCATTTAACTAATCATCATGACTATACAAACCATGATTGCATGATTTTTCTTTTTTCTTTTTTTGCCTCTATGCATTTAAAATTGCTGAACATAAATCTATTGCCTTTCCCCCATAAATGTGCTATCACATGTGTATTAGACATTCCATAGAATGTCTCTGTAGAAAATAAAATCTTCTGGTTTTGGGTTCACCTCCTTTGAGTATGACTGTTTTATTTCATCACGTGTCATGAAAAATTACTGTTATCACTTACTTTGCCTTTTGTATGAACTACCTTTTTGAGTAGTTGCTGAAACTTACTGAGTCTTCATTTTATTTATGAATTAGTAAAAACTAATTTATGCAAATGAATTGGAAGTGAATTTCCTTAGTTTAAGAGTTTACAGTTGTCTTTCAAAGACTGATGCTTTATACTAGAAGATGGATTCTTACATTTAGACGTTACAACACTAGCAGAACAGTCTGTTAGTATTTCTTAGGTATGTTTTCCTGTAGTAAGACATTCATCGTTCTTGCAAGACTACAGTTTGTTTTACCCTGTGCTTCAGCATCAAACTGCAGTCAGTTGTAACAATAAGACCTACAAAATGGAGATAAACATTCCTTTATTTTGCATCAGCTAATGAAAGTAGAATTATGTTGTTTAGCTGACACCCTAAAGGTGGACCAATAGAGGCTTTGTTAACACAAATGTGAAGTTTCGATTATTTATTAATGTTGTACTGAGATACAACTCTATGGGGGAAAAGTATTCTTACATTGTATGATACCTCTGCTTTTACTATACTATGGGTATATGAAGACATATGGTTATGTAGTGCTTAGTAAGCCTGAAGGACATGTTTGGCCTAATGTAACTGCTTTGCTTGTATTTCAGGGAAATTATAATTTCATTGCATGTTTATTGGCAATCAGCAGTGGTTGGTAAGCAGTCATTTGATGTTTGTTTTTAATTATAACAGGAATTTCCATTTTTTACCTTGACGACCTTTCCACCAGGCTTTCTTGTCCACGTTGGTGGTGTTGTCAGTGCACGGTCTGTGAAGCTCCTGGATCGCATTCACAATCCTGGTATGTTAACACAAGAACAATTTCCTTGCCCAAGTCCAGTCATAATGATCACGTCCTTCTAACCTTTGTAACTTTATAACATCTGTATTTGAATAGATACAAATCTATTCTAACAGTGTATATTGACAGCAATATTTTTCAAATAATCATTTAAGTTTGAAAAATAATAGTCATTCAGCGGGTATGTTTTTAAACTTTTCAGCAAGTTAATGAAATAGTAAAGTACTTAGAATACAGTAATTTTGCACTAAAAACTATCTTGGAATTATTGAGAGTTTAATTATTTTTTTACCACTTTTTAATATTAAAACTTGATGCAAGTTTTCCATTTGAACAAAAATAAGATTAAATACGTGATCTTAACTATAAATGTTTTCTAATTTTCAACTCCTTGAAATCCTTAAGGACTAATGACTACAGTTTAGCTCAATACACGTTTTTAACCTCTTTTGATAAAACCTTTACAGCTTTGTTTCTATTCTTAAAAATATATACTGAACAGTACTTTAAGATTTTTATGTATTATTTACATGGGAACCCCAGTACTGGAACATGCGTATTTTGCATGTCCTGATTCTGACATCAGAATTAAGTGAATTTTGACTCTGAAGACTTTGTTGTTATATTCACCGAGACAAGCCGAGGAACACTCTGTAAAAGTTGGAGTTAACAGCGCACTTAAAAATACAGACAGAGGAGAGTAAAAAAGAGCACCTGTAGTGATTTTGCATGCACTAGTCAGGAGTAACAAAACAAATTTTGTGCAAATGCTTCTCTAAAAGCAATTTTAAAAAAAATATATATTTTTCCCTTTTTTTTTTCTTCTTTCTGTGGCCCAAAGCAAGTAATTCTGCAAGCAGGTAGAATCTAAAGATTCAGTAAACTGACAACATGAAATAAAATCTGAGACTTAAATTAAGTTAAAACCCCCTACTTTAAGGGATTTTTTAAAAAAGCATATAAGTACACAATGTTGTTCTCTTTTTCCTATCTGTAAGGTTTATTTACACAGTGGAGAGAAGATTAAGAGAAACATCAAAGTGTATTTTATATGTGAGTCCTCCCTTTCTTTACCAGAAAGTTGTCTTAGGCTTCTGTATTTTCAAAAGATTTCTAATACAAGTCAGTTATGTGCAAAACTTACTGTGTGATACATTTATTTAAGACAAAATGAAAAAAAAATCAATTTTGCTCAGAAGTTTTAAAAACCAGTTTCTTTCATTATGCAGTCCATTATTTTTACCAACTGACTGAAAGCAGGATAAGACAGAAGAGAAGATAAGAGATGCCTATTTGCAGATCTAAGTGACTCTCTGCAGTGTTTTTGTAGATTGCTCCTGACAAGTGAATGTAAGATGCATGATACTTTGAACTCAGTATATTGCAAAACAATGGAAACAAAAGGGGGAATGAAGGCATGTGGCTATGGGAGGGAAGGTAAAGAAGTAGGAAAAAAAATTTCTGATACAGTGATAATCATACTAAACATTTGAGTCAAATAAGTCTGTAAAATATTAAAGGAAACATAAACTGGTGAATGAACACCAAAATGTAGAAGAGGAAAGAACATTTGAAGGTGAATTGAGAACTTATCGATAAGACAGTAATTGCTATATACTGTACACTTTGATCACGCCTAGTGCTAGATTGCTATAGCATGCTCCTTTTTTCCCTTTCTATTTCAGCCTCTTATTAACTCTGCTGTCTGTGTCTTTCCAGTTCCTGTGGAGTGGTGTTGTCAATTGTGTTCTTGTTGGTAGTTTTTTTTCACTATTCTGCTCCTATAACTGATCTACTAATTTGCTGTTTTGAACTCAGCCTTTGTCGGAATTATGGGTAACACAAGATCATACAAACTGCTAGACTGGAATAGTTTCAATTCAGGTATTTTACTAGTCATTCAGTACTACATATGCTGACAGAAATTATGGCAGCTCAGTGAAGTTCTTAAAAACTCTATAGGATATTTAGGTTAATGGTTCAAATTTAAATTTGTTTAATTATCAAATGCCTAAATGTCTTGTTTTACTGTTGTTAAAGGCTTTCTTTAAAATTGCAAACCATTGTATAAAATAGTATTGCTAAGAATAATTTAATATCAATCTGGAAAGCCGTTCAGATGATTATTTTGTAGTAGCTTTAAGCTCAGTGTCCGTGAAGCAAGTAATTTA